ATGGTAGATGCTACGTGATAATTCTAAATATTTTATAGCACAAGTTCTTGGAATTATCGTCGGTTTCATAAATAACTCGATTTCACATGGTAACCCCGCGGACCCCATACGTAATGGTTGTTTTTCGGGACACATTGTTACACTCGCTAATTCCCTACAGTTCATTAAATGTGTTACGGAAATCGTTAAATAGTACTCGTGTGTTTTAGATATGGCCATGTATTCGAATTCGGGCGTGAGGTGCATATAGAGCTGATTTTTGCGTACCGGCAATGGTATTATGTGATACAATGTTAGTTCTACTGGATTTAGTAATGGAATCACTAACTCGAATACGAGAGTTCCATTCATATATACTATAGCCAGTTTTGAAATCTTACTTAATTCATAAAGTGATATGTAATTTACATCAAAAGGTAATTTTAATTGCCCGGGCAAACTTATTAGTATGTCCCGCAGCTGCATTCTTAATTCTCTAGTAGATATTATACCTGAATGTATTATACCGTTTTGTGCCGCCGATATTATCTCCCCTACCATATCTGTTTCGAATACTAATTGCTGTAGTAGCAGCAACAATGTTGTTATTAAATTTGTTATTGTTGTTCGTATTTCTAATACGTCTATTTGATACCAAACGCGTTTTAAGCTGATCTCGAGATTACTACACGACATATTTAAATTTTGAATTTGGTTTTCCATTAACTGTGCTTCCTTAAATACACTATTTGTTAATTTTAATATACTAGTTTGTTTATCTACTATTTTTAACAGACCTACTCTACTATTTTGGAGCTCCCTTATTTGCGTATTGTACATCTCCCCGTCTTCGTCGTCCAACGTTCCGAATAACGTCTTCTGAATATGTCCTACTATATTAATTAATCCCCGTTTTTCACGGTGGTTTATCTCATCTATGTCTATGGACTGCAGCATATTGGACCTTTTTCTACTAATTTCTTGTAGTAGTGACGCGGAGGTTAATGCAAAATTACCACACGTGGTATTAAATAACTCGGGACTTTCTTTTTTTAGAGTTTCACATATTTTTTCTGTCTTATTATAAAAGTTAATTGTTTCTATATGTCTATTATTATAATTATCTAAATTAATATATATTAATAATTTCCAGTCCGAATTGGTTAATCTCAGTGGTCCTCGATTTTCGAAGTATATTCCACTCTCGTGCGGAATTGTTGAAACATTGTATGGCGAAATTTGCGTTCGAACGGCTTGAAAAACTCCTATTACTATTATAAACCTAAAATTATATGTAATTTTGAATAATTAAATCATAATATTATTCCTTAAATATTTTTACATGATTTTTATGTAAGGTAGCTATCCTTTTTTCTTTTTGGATTTTTACGTTATAATCTAATACTTTTATTACCGGATATGGTCCTACCCATATTGGTGTAAGTTTATGTTTCCTAGCTTGGTCAAGTATTAGTACCTTATCTCCTACATGAACGTCTTGTTCATTTTGTTTTTTATCATAATATTCTTTTGTTCTACGTTTTGTTTTTATAAGTAGTTCCCTTGCCAGACCGTGGGCGGCTTGCTTTTTCTGTTTCATTTCATACGCGTAATTATCATATGTATAGCACGGCTCCGATCGCCTTTGTAAGGGTGACGGGAACTCGACTGGATTGCCATATAATAACTCGTATGGTTGGAAATTGGTACTTTCATGTACAGCTGAATTATATGCAAATGTCACGAATGGTATGTGCTCGCACCAATTTTGAGCGTGTTGGTCTATCGTATGCCTAAGCATTTCCTTAATTACTCTATGAGCTCTTTCAAGAGAACCGTTTGTCTCGGGTCTATACGCACTAGCCATTGTTTTATTAATTTTGAGTATTTTACATACTTCAGTAAATATTTCACTTACAAATTCTGGACCGTTATCTGTTAATATACTCATAGGTATGCCATGAATACACACGAAATTAGTAACAAATTCCTTAGCCATTGTATTAGCTTTGTGGTCTTCCAAAGGTATTGTTAATAGAAATTTGGTCAAGTCATCTTGGATAGTAAGTATATAAGAATTATTCCTATAAGACGTGGGTAGCTTACCTACGATGTCTAGAAATATCTTTTGAAAAGGCTTTGTTGACGTCGTAGTGATCGCCATTGGTAACTTAATTTTTTTAGAGCTTTTATTTTTCTGACATGATTCGCATTTTTCTATGTACCGTCGTACGTCTTTTCTCATTCCCTTCCACTGTATTTGCGTTCTTATTCTTTTTAATGTCTTAGACACTCCCAAATGACCACCTAAGAGTGAGTCGTGATATAATTTAATTACATCTATTTTGTCCTGGCTACTCATTACGGTTTCGGAATATATTAGTACGTTTACGTGCGTACCCTTGAATATGTACCTATACATAGCTCTCACTTGTGACCAATTTAATTTATCTTTGGTATAATTTACCTCATTTTTAAATACTGTTAGTTTATCTATTTTATTAGTTTCACATAGCTGTCTTAACTTTATTAGTGCTTTATATATATTTTCGTATGTAGGAACGTCGTTTTCCTTTTCTTTGGTTACCAAACAAATTAGTTTGTTATTTTCTATATATGCTATATCCCCAATAATGGTATTAATTTTAACTATGTCTACATCTCTAGTTATTGCTTGGGTTAGATCATTGGTTATTTTTTTATCCCTAGGTAAATCTATTACTACTATTGAGTCCCTAGGTGCATTTGCTATTTGTCCGTTTATTTCTTTTATTCGCGTATTTATAATTATTTTAGAATTAAATTCTTCCCAAAATACGTCGTACGTTGTAGTAGCTTCGATTAGATTTATTTCTTTTATTCTACTTAATGCATCTGCATTTAGATTAGTTTTACCACTTTTGTATTGAATTTCATAATCGAACTCGTCTAATTTTATTCGCCATCTAAGTAACCTACTGCCTGGGTCTTTGACACTAAATAACCATGTTAATGGCTTATGGTCAGTTATGATTGTAAATTTTCGTCCATAAACGTATGGTCGGAATTGTTTAACACCAAACATAATAGCTACTAATTCTTTTTCGGTTGTTGAATAATTTATCTCAGCTTTATTGAGTGTACGTGACGCGTACGCGATAGGTAGGTCGGCTGGTATGACACCTTGGCTTAGTACGCATCCTACCGCGTAATTACTAGCGTCACACGTAATAATAAATGGTTGTTCGAAATTCGGATATTGTAATAGTGGTGCGTTACATAATATATTTTTCAATTTATCGAAGGCTTCTTGACAATCTATTGTCCATTTAAATTCTATTCCTTTTCGTAATAGGTTCGTTATTGGTTTCGCGATTTTTCCATAATCAGGTACAAAGTTTCTATAGTAACCTGTTAGTCCTAAAAACGATTTTATTTCTTTTACCGTCGTAGGTGTAGGGAATATTTTAACGCATTCAATTTTTCGTTCGTCGGGTTGTACCCCTTTCTCGGTTAATTTATGACCTAAATAAATTACTTCCTTTCTTAAAAATTCACATTTTATAGGTTGTAATTTTAAATTATGCGTACGTAATCGGGAAAATACCTCTCTAATTCGTTTGTCATGTTCACGTAAGTCAGCGGAAAAAATTATAATGTCGTCTAAATATACTAAACATTTTAAACCGATTAAATTACATAGAACGTTATTCATTAATCGTTGAAATGTGGGAGGACTATTTTTTAATCCCATTGGTAGTTTTGTATATTGCCAATGCCCTATGTCACTACTAAAGGCTGTTTTAACCCGTGACTCTTTATTTAACGAAATTTGATGAAAACCTTGGGCTAAATCTAAAATAGAAAAGTACTTAGACCTACCTAATCGATCTAACACATCTTGTATTTGTGGTAATGGCATTTTATCTCCCACTGTAATATTGTTTAATTTCCGAAAATCTACTACTAAACGAAATTTTGGCTTTCCTGATACGTCAATTTTTTTCGGAACTAATAGTATAGGACTATTCCATGGACTACTGCTCGGTTCTATTATACCGTCGCTTTCCATTTGTTTTATTTGTTTCGTTATTTCGTCCCTTTGACTATGTGGTAACCTATACTGTCTTTGATATATTGGAGGTTCCCCCTCCGGAGTTCTGATCTCATGTTCTATGGACGTGGTGTGGGTTAACCTATCACCCTCTAAATGAAATATGTCCATAAAATCTATGCACACTTGCTCAATACTTTCGAGTTCTTCCGAATTTAAGTGTTCAGTACGTAATTCCCTTTTTAACTGTTTTGCCCTTTCGGAATTATTTGGTAAGGTTTCACTTTCGGTAGTGTTAATATACATTATCGATTGTTCCCTATACAATTCATAATTTAATTGACTCAATCGCACCGGTCGTATTATTTTTTCCTCGTCGGATAAATTTATGACGTTTACTAACACGTGCCCGTCCTTCACTATGTTTATTACGTTGCCTATGAATACTTGTTCTTGTAGCTCTCCCTGTTGAATAGTTATTACCTCATTATTCTTAACCGTCCCAGTGTCAATTCCTACTGCCATTATATATTCTACTCGTGGAGGTATTCTTATATGATTACCTAATGTTAGCGTGTGTGCGCTACACCCGTATGGCATATATTTATTGTAGTGTTTTGTAACTGGAAAAATGGTCTACCTAATATACCTGCTTTAATGAGTGGCATATCGTTTTTAACTATATAAAATTTTATATTTTCGAATATTTCCGTACCTATTTCTATTGGTATTTCCACTATGCCTATGGTGGTTTCTAACGTATTACTTATTCCCCTTAAAGAAATTGCTTCACCTGGTACTAACTTCGTATCCGCTGTTAATGCGGATAAACGAATTATATTTACACTGCTACCTGTATCCACTAAAAATTCCAACGTTTTATTTATAAAATTTACTGACCTACTTTTAATGTGCTGATTTTCCATTGCGACCGTTATTTGTTTTATATCGTATATTTCCCTTAAATCTTTAACCACAGAGGGACTTTCTATTCCTGTGGCCGATAGCCGTTTCCCGAATTGGAGCTTTCTCCTTTATTACGTTTATCTTCGTTTTTCTTTTTATAACATTTATCCATGGTATGCCATTTTTTCGAGCAATATTCACATACCATGTATGTTCTAGCGATAGGCTTATTCATATTTATTTTCCCTTCGTTTTTTACACTATCTTTGAACCTACAGTCCCTAGCGTAATGCCCGTATTTTCCGCATACATGACAATTACCTTTATTAAACTTTTGGGTGCCCCCTCTATCTCGGAAGTTACTACTCTTTTGTTTTACTTCATTTGGGGTCGTATTTTTGTCTTCTATAATTGCAATTTGAATAGCCTGTTCCAATGTGGAGGGATGTTTACTTTTTACCATTAATTTAATTCTATCGGATATCCCTTCCAAAAATACTAATAAGGCCTGTTCCCTTATATTATTTTGTACAGCTAATGCGTCGCTTACATTTTTACCTTGTGTGCTACCTTCCGATACGGCCTGCACTAAATTACGTATTCTATTAACGTATTCTATTAATGTTTCTTTATATCGCTGCTTCGCGCTAAACAATTCGGTTTGTAAATACGCTGCATTTGTGGGTCTATCATATGTAGTTTTCAATAACGTTTTTAACATAGCCCAACTAGTTATATTTTCGTATTTTATTACCTCGTAAGCTAAGCCCTTTATTCGATTAAGGATTGTCCTTAACATTATGTCCTGATTAGCCACTGGAGTTATATCTATCACTAACTCACATGCATTTATAAAAAATACTAATTTTTCATCTATACCCCCACTAAATTCGGGTACCAATCGTATTACGTGCTCTACAGTTTTATCAATAGTAACTATATGATTTACACTCGTATTATCGCTCGACGCGTTGCTATTAGTACCTGTCATGCTAACGGGTGATCCTAATACAACCTCAAAAATATGACTTTCAGAAAAGTCTATTTCAAAACTATCGTCTAACGTTACGTTTAAACTATTACGATGTCGATTCGGGCTTTGTGACATAAGACTATGCTTACCAACTATTGTACATTACTAAGTTGTTTGTATTTGACTTCGTTGCTCCCAAACGCCTTCCGATTGACTGCAGATGTTCTGAATGATCCTTGAGAAGTTGATCAGATTTCCCTTGAATGATTCGGGTCGGAATCTTCGTCGTGTTGATACGATGTATGTGAAGATCCCTGGTTTCGGCACCAAAATTTGTTCCTGTTGTGAACCGGATGAGAGACACTGTTGATAGGCTTCGAAGTCGAACAAATAACTCTTATTCGAATTGATTATAATATAAGTTTATTAAATATAAAACATAAATCAATTAAGAATAGTTTCAAATTATTGAAACAGTACAATTTAAGACATAAATAATCAGCATGGATACCGTCAACTAGTAGCCTGCTAACTATAGAGTGATGAGCCTTTCGTTAGGGTCCCTGTTATATAGGTGCGTTGGTATAAGGAAAAAGGTACCTACACGTACATCCTTGCTACGTGTAGCCTTGCTTTTTTATGTAACAAATATCATACTTTCCTTATACCTATTGCGTTGTCTTTTAGATAATAATTACTGCTGCCTATCACGTATCGGACACATGCCGAACTGCGTGTGGCCTGTAGTATTTGCAACAGGCGTTTTTGATTGCATTTGATTAGAGGGGCCACACAAATTTTTTTTGGATAAATAATAGGATACCGGTAAAAAAAAATTAATACAATTTACGGTAAATTATTTTATCTTTAAAAATGTTTCTGGTCAATTTACAGCACTGACGCATATCTAGTAACGAAAATGACACCAGAAACGTCACAAGCAGGCAAGCAGCAGACATTGAATTTTATCATAATTACCTACTTTTAGTTTCCACCACACACAATAAACATACAATTGAAAAATATATACCCAGTTAAATTATAAATGGGCGAATTTATTTGGTTGGTGTACAAAGTATATATAGGTACCTTGATATATTTCATGAAACAACACCATTACATAATTTATTGGCAGGTAGGGACATAGGTATTATATAAATTTAGCCCAGTAATTTGTAATATATTATAACAGAGTAATACTATTAATGAAAACGAATGATGTATAATCATATTTATATGTACGTAATAGTAATGTAAGTAATATACCGTAAGAAAGTTTATAAAAAATCAAATACTATAATGGGTGGTGTATTACCATGGTCCATGGAAAAATACAGTTTGTTTAAAAAATATGAAAACAAATTACAACATCGTACTTGCAGCTTACAGGCTGTGTCAAATTTAACGTTCGTCAAACAGCAACAGCCAGCCCGGGGCCGATTATAACCACGCCCTGTATCCTCCATTCAGTATTTCGATTTTTGATTCGATAGCGCATAAATCACAATGTTTTACACAAACTATTGTGATTCTTCTAATAAAATTAGTAAAATATGACAGCATACTATTAAAGGGATAACATTGGCCATTGCGCATTGCATAACAACGTCAGCAATCGACGTGACTTATCAACCTACCATTATAATTGTGAACAAGTAAATTTATCATGTTATTATAATGTTTATTATTATTTTTATTAAATTATATAAGTGGGTAACTATAGTAGATATGTGTCACTAGAACAATATATTATAATCAATCTTTTTATATACGCGTCCAACCTACACAATTTGAAAATTTTCACCACAGCTTGAACAAACAAGGTATTCTTTTTTGATTATTAAAAATGAATACGTTATCTTACATGACGTATGGAAATTATTTTTGGCTCGGGCCACACGATGCGTTTATTCCGCGTTAGAAAATATTAATGCGGAAATTCCGCAACAACAGTGTTTGACCATACGATGCGGAATTTCCGGATGTGAAATCAAAAATGTATTTATTTGTATAATAAAAATAGTACATTTAATTGATTTAAATTCCAAAAATACTAAATACTAATATTGTACGCTATCATGACCAGCTTAGCACCAGTCAAAGTTCTGCTTACGACAAGTACGGTCGATTTTTTTTCATTATGAGTGCTCTTTTAAATATTATTTGCGCTGCGGAAACATCCGGTAAACTAGACCAGTGGTCTTCAACCTTTTTGGACTTGCGACCCAAATTTTTAGGCCTACATTTTTCGAGACCCACGGGAGCTTTATAAAAAATCGTAAATTGCTTAATGCTTTGCAATAGTACTATTAAAACTGAATAAATAAAAATTAAATTTTAATAGGTAGAATGTTATTATTATTTGAAAGTGTATAGAATTCATATGAAATTATGAAATAAAATGAAAATATGATACAAAAAATTTAATGTGAACTTTGTTCTTGAGTGTTTTCACATAATAAATTCCATCTTGGCTCAATTTGACTAAGCGCGATCCGTAAATCATCTTCAGTTTCAAGTCTGTTTCTCTTTGGTGTTTTCAAATTTGCCATAGTAGAAAACGCCTTTTCACATAAATATGTAGATGGAAATATTAATAAAATTGAGATGGCTTTAGTTGCTAATTCTGCGTAATTTCCCGTGCATAAGTGTGCCCAAAATATTTCTAATGAAGTTTCACAAAACATTTGTTTCAATTTGTTATCACACGATAGCTCAATTAATTGATTTTCAATGTCAGTAGACATATTTACTGTCATTATATCTACTGCGAATGGTTGTTCAATCCACTCATAATTTACACGAATATCCTCAGGAAAATATTGGTTAAATAATTGTTCTAAGTTTGTCAAATGTTCGTTTACTAATTCAGAAATGTCTTCGAACTTGATTGAAGAATCTTCTTCTAAAAACTCAATAACGTTAGTGAAATTATCAATATTTCCAGAAGATACTCGAGCTTTTATAATACGAAGTTTTTTCTTAAATGATTCAATTTTTTTTGTATGATCAAATATGTTAAAAAAATTGTTAAACACAGCAACAACATCGATAATATTCGTAGATTATGGGACTCTAACGATAACAATGTATATTAATTCTATAAATAACACAGTTTATTTGTTAATTCTTATCTCAATATCTTACTACGTACAATCATACCAGTGTAATATGAAACATTATGATTATACCGTATTTAGTATTACATAATACGTATTATATAATAGAATATAGAATAACAATAAATTATAAAATATTGTTGATACCTACACAACATACACTACTATTTATAAACTGTATTTTTATTTATTAATTTTCTAAATGTAATTATTAAAAAATTATTTTTTTACCTTTTATAATTTTAAAAATTTTATTTTTATTTTAAAAAGAAGACTTATCGCGACCCAATTTTAAAGCTTACGCGACCCAAAAATGGGTCGCGACCCACCGGTTGAAGACCATTGAACTAGACGAACCTACTTCACCGACTGTATCAAGACAGTTTTGGGTACATTCACTCAACCAAAAAAAAGACAAGGAGGATTTGTTTGAAAACTTTTACAGCTCGATTCGAACATTTCCTCAACATTTTTTTAAATATTACCGAATTTCGAAAACATCTTTTGATGAGTTATTGGAAACAATTCGTCCTCATTTAACAAAGCAGCAAACCAATATTAAGAATCCAATATGCGTTGAGCAAAGACTTACAATTACTATAAGGTAAGAAATTATTTTTTTTTAATTATCGTAGATAATAATATGTAGGTACCTACTATGTACCTACCTCATATTATACATATCGAATATATTACTAATAGGTAATTTATAAACACTCAGTAAATAATTAGAAGTAGGTAGTAATTTATTTGAAAAAAACTGAAAACTAGAAACAATATAATAAATTATAACAAATTACAAGATTTTCCACAATGTTTTCTTTGAATATCTGTAAAAATACTCTACCGGACTAAAACCAAACTTTTTTATGAACGTTTTAGCATGTTTTAGCCTCAAACGGTTTTTGATATTTATTTTTATTCAAAAAGTATAAGATGTAAAAATTTGAAACTTCCACCACTTGTTTAAAGTGACATTTTCTTCGCATGATTTTTTTTTTCATAATAATTCGTCGATTTTTCAGATATTTATAAGCATTTTAAATATTCGTTTTTTTATAAATGCCGTTTAAAAAATACTTGAAAATTTAATAGAAGATTTTACATAAGTTAATCTATGAGATATTAAAAAATGATCAAAATACATTGGCACAATTCTTTTTTGTAAATGTTTGAATTTCAAATTTCGATTAAATGTATATAACAATTTAAATATAGGTAATATAATAATATATCCTGGACTGACACATCATCTCCGTTCAGAATAGTTTTTCGTATACAATGATACCTATCATTGCATTCAAATTTAACACATCCTTTATAGTGAGCTACTCTACAACCCCCTAATGTACAGTAGAGCGACATCCACTTACCCGCATTTTTAGATTCTGAGTGAAACGTTGAATGTATTGATTTTACAATGATGTGTGTTTTTTTTTATTTTTCATTTTTTTTGTGTCTGTCATCACGTTTTATGACAGTAAAAGTGCTTGGATTTTCTTCAACAGTAGCTTTTCTGATAGGAAAGTGAATCTAGTTGGTACTTTGGGGGGGTCAAAAGGGAAAATTTCTCAGTAGTTTTCAAAAGCGGCGTGGAAAACAAAATAAAAATTATGGAAAAACTGGAATTTTTACACTAAAATCTGTTTTCGAAAAAATCAATTTTGGTTTATATATGTTGATTATAGATAATGACCAAGTTACCAAGGCATTATATTAATTGGCAGTCAATATCATCATTACCTGAATTTACGACATTGACGGTAACATATATAGTCGATTTGGTTCTTTTTACCATAGCTCTAAAATCAAAATTGACTAAATGGCAACCAGTCAAAGTTTCGATTAAAATTATTGAATTTTTCACAAATCATACTAGAATTTTATGAATTATTATGAAATTTTATTTATTATTTTTGTATCCGTAGGTTTGCAGATATTATTAAATCATTTAAATTTAATTTTGAGGAATTAATTAACCTCACAACGTAAATCTATCCAAATAAATAATAGGAA